GGAACAGCTTCTTTGCAGCTGTTATGTTGATCTTTCAGACATTATCAATTATAGTCATGTGGCAACAGGCTGATAGCAGCTATCTGATCATTGGCAAGAAGTTAGACACTACATATCCTGTTTTGCATCAGATTCATTGCGATCTTTACCTATTGTTCCAAATTGGCTCCAAGTGCAACCTCACGTGTCAGTTTTGCCTATTCACTTTTATATAACTCCAGCTGCTGCTGTAGCTTAGCCGTTATTTACCACCCTTAACCCCCTCTAATCCATGCTAATCCAGGCATTTTTATTCATTAATATCTCTTCATATACTTTATATATTCATCACAAGCTGTCAGTCTGGTGAGCTAGTCACTTAATTGTCAGCTTCTCTGCATTCTACTGGCAACTTCAACATCTTCCTTTAAAATGAGGGTCTTCCATGAAGCTTTTCCAAAGATGACATACAAGTCACAATACTTAAAAATAGCATTTAGAATTTGGATGAATAGATCATGCATTCCTTACACACACACACACACACACACCTTGTTTCAACTGCTGCTTTGGTCCATTATGAGATTTCTACAGTAATAATACAGAAAAGGCAGAGGTATTCAATAAATATTTCAGTTTTGTTTTTGGGAAAGAAGCAGTGACTCTGAAAAAGATTTGGGGGTCATGATGGATAATCATCTGAACATGAGCTCCCAGTGCAAAATAGCTAATATAATCCTTGGATGCATACCAGGGGAATCCTGAGTAAGAGTAGTGGGGTTATATTACCTCTGTATTTGGCACTGTTGTGATCACTGCTCGAATACTGTGTCCAGTTCTGGGTGTCCACAACTCAAAAAAATATGTTGATAAATTGGAGAGAGTTCAGAGATGGACCATAAGAATGATTAAAGACATAGAAAACCTAACCCAGTGGTTCCCAAACTTGGTTTGTGCTTGTTCAGGGTAAGCCCCTGGCGGGCCACGAGATGGTTTGTTTACCTGAGCATCCACAGGTATGGCCACTCGCAGCTCCCAGTGGCTGCGGTTCGCCGTTCCCAGCCAATGGGAGCCGCAGGAAGCAGTGCGGGCTGGGCCTAGGCTGACCAGATAGCAAGTGTGAAAAAAATCAGGACAGGGGGTGAGGGGTAATAGGAGCCCATATAAAAAAAAGGCCCCAAATATCAGGACTGTCCCTATAAAATCGGGACATCTGGTCACCCTAGCCGGGCCACCTCTTCCTGCAGCTCCCATTGGCCGGGAACGGCGAGCTATGGCCACTGGGAGCTGCAAGCAGCTGTACCTGTGGACGCTCAGGTAAACAAAGCGTCTCACGGCCTGCCAGGGGCTTACCCTGAACAAGCTGTGAACCAAATTTGGGAACCACTGATCTAACCTTATAGTGATTCAGCTCCTTGAGTTTCTCTATTTAGCTTAACGAATAGTTTAAGGGATTAACTAGATTTCAGTCTATAAGGACCTACCTGGGGAACAAATATTTAATAATGGGCTCTTCAGTCTAGCAGAGAAAAGTATAACACAATCTCCAATGGCTGGAAGTTGAAGCTAGACAAATTCAGACTGCAAATAAGGTGCACATTTTTAACAGGGAAGGTAATTAACCACTGGGTTAATTTATAGAGTTGTGGTAGATTCTTTCTCACTGGCAATTTGTAAATCAAGATTGGTGGGTTTTTTTAAAGATATGCTCTAAAAATTATTTTGGGGAAGTTTTATGGCCTGTAGTATAAATGGGTCAGACTTTATGATTACAATGATCCCTTCTGGTCTTGGAATCTATAAATGTATAAGATTATGATTGCGAAAGGAATGCAGCAGTAAGCCTATGGTCTTTGTCTTCAGCATGATTGGAGGCATTGCCACTGACTCAGGCCTTGATTTAGGAAAGTCATTGGTACTTCAGAAGGTGCTTAAGTGCTATACTAAATCAAGAACTCACTGTATAGCCCTTAGCTGAGTCATTAATGTCACCATGCTTCATTTCTATTACACCAGATTACAATTATATTGTGCAACAATATACAGTAATATTGACCAGCCTTACAGGGATTTTGTGAATCTAAATGTTTTTAAAGAGCTTTGAACACCTCAAATTAAAGTTGCTATATAACGCAAGTTTACTATGGATGTACTGTCTCTTATTGTAAAAACATACATGTGCTTTATTTGAACAATTTAGCAAAATTTCTTCTAAAACTCATTTCACAGTGATGTTGGAAGGCTAAGCCATTGCTATCCCAAACACAGACATAGGCAGAGATGATTTTGAAGGCGTAAACTCTACTGTTGTATTAGACCTGGGAATGGAGCCTCACAATCAAGCTCAATTCTCCTTTGAGGGGGGGATTGGTGACTATGATGACTGAATTGCCCAGGCTTTACCAGGCACTAGTGTGGTGCCTGTTGTCTCCATGCAGTTTCACAGTGACCCATCAAGAAGGCTTCAGGTGTAAGGGATCCATTAAGTTACAGCTGTTTAAATTAAACAAAGTTATGGTATACGACAATTTAATGCCTAGGTTTTCATACCACATCCATCACTATGATGTGTGAGTGCCATATGATATATGCATTTCTTTATTTTGCCCACCACATGGAGAAACCAGCAACACTGTGTCCAATACATTGAATCATTTTCTTCCAATTAGACCCTCAAATATGCATATACAACTCCCATTCATTTTGATTATACTGGAACTGATAAGTATAGTTATTACCAGGCAAAATTAACCCAGCTCCACAATGAAGCTACTCTCAGTTGCTACTATATTTTTTCCTGTTTGTATTGCATCTTCAGTACTCTGTATAGCACAGACAATTCAGTACTCTGTTATGCAAACAGTGACACACTTGGATCCGGTGACACTATGAAGTACAAAGTGTTTTGGATTAAACCCTAAAGGTGCAATTTGCAAAGACCAAGGGGTTTTGTGCTCCTAAATCACTTAGGCACTTTGGAAAATCCCACCCTAAATGCTTATTTATAACTCAGCCAATGCCATTGTATTTATAAATTATATAAATAACAGAAACACTGTTTCTAATAAAATAAGCTAGCATTTCAATATAAATGAACTCTTCTGAACTGGAAGTGTGTTGTAAACATACTACTTTAAAAGCAAACATGAAGTTGATGTTAGAAGCTTCCAGAATTAATAAAAACAAAGAATAAATAATAATTTGATAGACATCTTAGTAAAATACATCTACATTATATGAAATATGATTATTTTAGCATAATTACTAATAACTGCACAATGGAAATGGTTTTCTGTAGGAAAAGGACAAAGTGGCATGAAGTTTTTCTTCATACGAATTCACAGCTGAAATGTGTCTATTTGCACTGATGACTGCAAAAAGTGCAAAAAGTGGTGTGCTACATTGAGACAAGCTAACTCCAGATAGCCCTCCTGATGTAAAATCCGAGTGAAGACAAAGCACAGGTAGTTTTTACTTTGATGTAGCTAGCTGAGGTCAACCCTGTGTCTTCCGCCTGGACCCTGTCTCGTCTAGCTACATGGACTTAAAAACAACCTGTGCCTTGTGTCCATCAGGATTTTACATTAAGAGATCTATCTTGATGTACGTACACCCTTTTTGCAATGAAGACATAGCCTGCGTGACTTTTGGTGGATTACTCAATTTTGCCCTGATGCAGATCAATCAACAATATCAGTCCACAAAACATAGTCAGTTACTAAATAAGTTGTAACGTATTTTGTAAAAGTAATGAGGTCTTATTATTATGATCTCTCATCTCAGTACTCTGCTATTAAATCTTTGCTGAGAAGTAGGGAGCAACAACTGGGTTTTGTGTCTGAAATGAGAATTAATGAGGATCTGCTTTTTAAAATACTTTAAATTTTACCTAATTCCTCTATACTGACAAGACATTTTTATTGTTCTAAGTGTCTTCAGAAGATCATATTACTGGAGAGTTTTTTAAGATGTATTACAGACACATTACAAATATTTGGAAACTAAGGCAGTGCAATGTAATCTGTTGTACCATAACATCCCTTGAATAAAATCTATATCCTTTAATGAGTTTAGAACTATTGGGAAATGAACATGTTCAAAATTCAGTGTGAACTCTCCGTATATACAAAAATATATAGCACACATATACATAACATCAAAAGCATTACCAGTGATGATATACATCTATTATTTACAATTACAACATACATTTTCTCTACTTCAGAAAGCTACGGTGGTTGAATTCAAGCAGTTGCAAATTTTTAATTAAATATTGTTTGTTTTTAAGAGAAATATACATAAATGTAATATAAGTATTAAAGAACCATCATACTTAATAAAAGCTCTCTACTAGTTCAAAACACTTCTTTAAATATAGAATACAGAGTGCACTGTAGTATTATCTATGAGAGTGTGAAATCTCCAAGTAACATAGCAGACTCAAAGTTTCAAAAAGTAGGGGGGAAATGTAGAATGTTGATGGGACCATGCATCACTATTTAAAATATGTAATAACATGCTAATGCAAAGAGTCAGTTGGACAGGAAAATAGAAAGAAACTCCCCTCCAATTCAAGTCTGAACTCATAAGAACATAAACTCCAATCACAAACATATGCAACTACATGTGGTGTGAAACCTGGTGGACAGTGTGAAATTGAGCAATTAGCTACATTAAGAGTGAACAATTAGTGCTACATAAATATAGGATAGACCCGATTTTTGTTAACTGAGTCCGTTTATTTATTTTAACCCAAGGACAATAAACCCCATAAGTGACCCAAACAAATCTTGAACTGGCGATTATTAAAAAGGAAGAGAGTGAACCGCTAAGGAGGATTGTGTTGCTTTGAACCTAAGGATTTAATAAATATATTTGACACGTGAAACAGGGAGGAAAACAACCTATGAGGCGAGAGGGGGAAGTAGCAATAGAAGGGCAGCTTGGTGAGAAGTGGCGGGGAGGGGGGCAAAATCTGAGGCTGGGGCAGTACAAGGGACAATGGACAGCTCCTTACTTACCATCTTCATTCTCATCAAACACGGGAGTTTTGTGGGAGTGATTGCCACCCATATTATTCCACAGTTTCTTCCACATCCCCAGCCACAGGGCGAACGGCCAGCATCCCAAGGGAGAAGGGGGCGAATTCCAGACAAAGAAACCAGCCCAACTAGCGGGGGGCAGGGGGTTGATCGCACTTCCCAGCAGCGTCCCGGGCTCGGAGCCCTCCCTGCCTCTCGCTGGCTCTGGAACTAGGAGGGAGTCCCCGCATCCCCTTCCATGCTCTCACGCCTTCAACCTCCCCTCCACGCCCAGGACTCTCTTCCGATCGCCGCTCCGAGCCGGGCTGCGGCTGCTCGGGGAATCCTCGGGGGTGTTAGAAATCATCCTGCGAAATGAAAGTGATCCATCTGCCTCTGACAGGGATTGCTGCTGCTACTTACTAACTTGATCCATATTTCATAGCAGACAGTCAGGGGAGGGAGGGGCGCTGAAGGGAGGGAGGCAGGGAGGGAGGGGGCGTAGGTCCTGCTGATGGTTGTCCTTGGTAAAAGGTAAAAGCTGGATCTACCTGGAGCCTACTGAGTTTGGTACCCAAGATCCCAAATTCCGCTTCCTAAAGTGAGGACATTATAGCCACTCCTATTGTTCCCGGACCCCAACACAGCCCAGCACATCAGAGCTACAAAAACCAGGCTCCAGCACCAGGATCCTGCTAGTTCCAGCCAACTTTTGGCCCCACGCCCCCCAATTCCACTGGCCAAACAGAGAAAAGTGAAGCCACACCTGTGGTATCAAAACCAGGTCTCCGATGCACCGCAGTGCAACCTCGCTGCAAAAACTTGGTTTCAGCATCTGGACCTTGCCAAATATAGCCTAGAAACATGTGACCATCCAAAGAGACAAGTGTTTCCACTTTTCCACAAAAAACAGCTCCTGGTTGTAAGAAAACTGGACCCCAAATCTGAACTCCAACATCTGCTGTAAGAAAGCTGCAGAAACTCCGGTTCAGCACCTGTATCCCCCTGGATGGAGCTAATATTAGGTGGCAGCCCCCTTCCCCCACATACTTTTGTTATCTAAATTTAGAATCTAGGCACTTCTTCAATAGAGTCCACCAGAATACTCTGGATCCCAACATACTATGCTGCAAAAACTTGCAGCCAAGGCCCGGACCTGAATTTTGAGGTGCTATGGTATTTGAGGGTCTAGATTTTAAAGGTGAAGTAGGAGCAACTAAATAAGTTCTCAATTTCGTGACTGGGACCAAAAATTGTCTGGATCCAGTAGGATCCAAGTGGCAGATCCGGGTTTTTTTGTGGCACTGTTATGTTGGGGGCTGGGAGGTTTTTTTGGCTCACTAGGAGCTGCGAGACTTGTTCTCCATTTGCCCATTTAGGTAATGGAATTTGGAGATCTGGGAGGATCCAACACTCCCCGGGACACCGCATCTTTCTCAGACACTGCCCGGTGGCAGTGAAGGGTGCGGTTTGCGCATTAGGGCGAAGTCTATTGACTTGTTCTTGCTTATCCTTAATAAGCGAGGCTACGTCTGCAAACGAACGGGCCATTACACAGGGAAGGGCCGGTTGCTAAAGTTTGCTGCATATCTCACCCCTGGGGGCACTTAAAGAAGTGGAATTTCGGGCCGGGGTCGGAGGCACAGGTTGGACAGTTCTCTCCAGCTGCGTGTGCCAAGTGATGGAGTTATACATGAAACGTGCTGGGAAACAAACTGGCCCATGGCAGATCATGGCACGTTTATTTCTGTTCCGGGGCTGATCTTACAGCTGCAGGTGAGGAGGATCTGCGGTAAACAACATGCAATTAAACAAATGGGGAAAGGCAGAGCCCAGCCCAAGGGAGTGCGGGGACTTGATCCTAGCACAGAAAGGGTTAACGAGTCTAAACAAACACACCGTCCCCAGTAAACATTTGAGATGTTCAGCCTTACGATGCCACCTGCTGGCTCAACTAAAACACACTCTTGCCTGTGCAATACGACGGTCGGTTGTGTGATCATTATTGCTAGGCATCAGGGGAAGTCAGCGTAAGGTACCTAATCAGGGCACAACAACAATCGTCTGGATGATAAACTGCTGCTTTTTGTTGTGGGTGCTGTTAAATAGATACAATCTAATTCTCTTGTAGGTATAGTTTTATAGAGGAGATTCTCCAGTTCTGGTGGCGGAGGGGGGTGAGTTTATTTTCTTTAACACTGACCGGGTCGTTTCCTGAGCAAACTAACCACACTACAAATTAGCACACTTTGTGGGTCTTATTTTCTGACTCCTGTCAAAAAAATTTGCCTCAGTGCTTCAGAGTACACTGAAACCCCCCCAGGAGAGATGAGTGTGAGAAATGCTGCTATAGGTCTCTTGTTCCACGATAATCATATCAGGCCATGAAGTTCGAGAATGAATTCAGTAACTCTTACAGGGTCCTTTGTAAGGGCGTGATCCAAAGTGTCAAATCTGAAGAGTATCACTTTCTTTACAATATTACATTCAAAAGCATGGGTTGGTGTTAAAGCCTGCTCCCAAGAGTGGATATCTGTTGATCCCATATTTAACCTGGCTCTAGCCTTCTTCCCAAACTGCTTTATCGTATGGCCATAGATGAGGTCACCCCCGGGGAATTTGCTTGGTTCAAGCCTCTCTTTTGAATCTTCTAGATCATGAGAAACAAGTTTCTGAAGCCAGGGTACTCAATTGGATTTGTATCACATTTTTAGAATCTTCTCTTTGTCTTTACTCTTGACTACTCCATCTTGTGTGTTTTGCAATGGCTCTATCCTTAGCTTTGTAGTGACCATGCTAATCTTGGCTTAATATTCAACTAGCATATTTGCAGACTCTTTGTCATCTAAAGCCTCTATACCTACATTTTTCAGGATTTTAGATTGCACAACTTCATCTGTTTATTGTCAGTTTGCTTTAGTGTCATCCCAAAATCATCTTCTCTATGAGGATCCAATCTGTCACAAGTTTCTTCCCAATGCTTTCGTCTACGTTCAGTTATTTTCACAGCGACTTCTTTCAAGTTTTCATTCCTTTTTCATCTGGCCTTTCATATCCGGGATTCCGTTCAACCTCCAATCAAACTTGATTCCTGGGGACATAGTCACTATAAAATAGCCATATTTATGAACCTTACAGAATACCACATTAGGCACTTCATCCTCAGAGGTGCTGAGCACCTACTGCTCCCAAGGAAGTCAACAAATCCTGCTTATTTAGTCCAATCCCCTTGATTTCAGCAGGAGTTTTACTGAGTGAGGATGTCAGGGTTTGGCTCCAGTTCAGTGGTACTCTCTGACATGTAATCAACCAGCCCCAAGGGTGATCATTATAAGGAAGGAGATGAATTTGAGCACCTCTGTTACTCTGGGAGTAATTTGGGATTGTTATCAGAGTCAAAAGTCACTACATCTCCCTGTGCCTTAGCTTCCCATCTGTAAAATGAGAGTAATGAAACTGACCTCCTTTGTAAAGTGCTTTGAGATGAATGGATGAAAAGTGCTATAAAAGAACTAGGTATTAAGAGCTAAGTATTATCATCATCCACTAACAGGAACTTCTAGTTTTATTTACCTCAATTATATTTTTACAGGTAGAGGTTTTTTTTTTTACATGTCATTTTCTGGACACACCTAAGAAATATCAGCTTGAGGATCTTGACAAATAATGTCCATTAATGAACCCCTTCTTGGATGACATAGGTATTTATTTACAGAGATTGGCCTTATCCTCAAAATATTAATACTGTAATAAATAATGCAAACTATTCAATGTCAAAAATCATATATACAGTGTTTAAAAGTCAAGACCCATATTACACACTACATAGGAGAAAAACTGAAATTCCACTCACAGTTTCCATTAATTGTTCTAGTGGAAGGGGAGGAAAAGAACACATAAGGGGGTTCTGCCTCCTAAACCAATGGGTTTTCCAAGATTTCAAGACACCTGCAAGAGGCCAGGTTCATCTATACAGAGACTGAAAGGCTGCTCCCCCATGCCTACTGCCTGCGGCACCCCTCTCCTCAGGAAGAGTACGTTTGAGAGAGGACAACCCTTTGTAAACTAATGCAGATGGACTCAGCCTTATCTCACTCCAGGAAATCTTAAGGTATTTGAGGGTGTAGGAAGTGTTGTGATAATTGGGCCTACAAATTTGCCCAAATTGTGAACTCAAGTTTAAAAAGTATGTCAAAGTTCATAAGATGCTACAATAACCTATAATAACAAAAGTTGATTGGAAAAGGTATGAAGGAGTCAGAATAATTGAATTAGTCTAAAACAAAAAGGCTAAGTTGATATGATTCAAGGACTATGTGAAAATTATGCTTGTTAAGAAAAGGAGATCCAGAGCCAGAAGTTAAGGAGCCAAAATTGGTATCTCTGATATTAGGCCTAATTGGTGAACAAAACAATGATGGGGTGGGCTGTTCCACCCATCATTCCCTTTTTGAGTCCTTAAAAGAAAGATTTTGTGGGGAGAGTATGAAAAAATAGATAGAGGTGCGAGCCATCCCCACCATCTGCTGGGACCCTCGGCCTTCATCGTCCTGATCCTGAGAGGTGTCCTGACCAGACTGGGACGGGGGGGGGGGGGGGAGACCCAGATGACATTGCTACCCCTACTGAATCCAACTGAATCCCAGACATGGGACTCCTGAGATGACAGTTATTACCAGCTAAGAGACTGTCAAACAATGGGGGTGGAGGATGGATTCCTTTTAAAAATTGTCTATAGCTAAAGGAAAAGGGATCAAGGGGTGTTGTTAAAATGAAAGCTTTATTTAATACTTTACATTTCAAATACTTGAACAGTTTTTCCTCCTTTTCTGTATCTTTAATAAAAGGTTACAAGGATTTTTAATGGTGTGTTTGCCATGGTGCTAAGCAGGCTGAGGTCTCTGTATACCTAGTCCAAGACGTTCTTTAACACTATTTAATGTTGGACAGTAACTGGGTTATGTTAACGCTTTAGCCCTTTATTCCATCTAAATTAATACAAATAAAGGGAGCAATGATGTGGAGAACAGACATAGACAGCCAGTCCTCCAGCTCCAGCCCCTCTTTATCTCTTGAGATCAGTCCCTGTGATGCACTCACAGAAGGGCTTCTGAGGAATCAAGGGAAGGATGATGCTAGAGAGACAGCCCTTCCCCCTCTTCTGTGGCTCCTTCCCAGCCAGATCTGCCTGCCCTGGTTCCCCTCTGCCCATGGGCAGGGAGGGAACAATAAGGAGCAAGATTCCTTAACTCTTATTATTCATAACAATTTAAATTTAAAAAAATCATAACTATAATTTCCTTTCCACTATTCATGTCATTTGTTTCCTTTTTGTATTTCTGACAGCTTGGACAACGAACAAGTTCATTTTTGATTGTAATCAGCTCCTCATCACTTTCACTTTCAGATTCATATTTTATTCTACACAGATTAGCTGTCAGCCAGGATCGGCAGGGATGCAAAACCATGCTCTGA